TCGATCATATGACTATCAAATATCAAGGTTTAAAGAGGCAAAAGAGGCTGGGGTGTGGCAGCCATTTTCAGACTATTTCGATCTCCTTTAGAAGAAGAGCTCCATATAAAGATATACAAAAATGATCAAATTTTAAAACTAGAATGTATGAATTTTTTCTTTGCCAAATGATAGTTGACAGCTTAATTAAGATACTGTATCTAAAAAAAATAAGTTAAATCTGGTGGTTAATTTGTTAATTTGATGACCCCTCAGCCTCCTTAATGTCGGCAATGATATTTTAATCCATAAGCAAGTAGAGACTAGACCAAATTTAAAATCTACGTTGCAGTAGACGATAACATTTCTACCTGTGTTTAAGGGACCAGGCAAAATTTATCGTAATGATGGTACAAACGGGCATATGGGACAATGAGTTTAATCATGGTACCAAGACATTTTCAGCATTAAGTACCCATGGGACACAAACCTTTTTCAATGACTAACAGTACTTAACCCAAAAGAAGTATTCATTTTATTTTTTTTTTTAAATTTCGGGAAAAAAAACATATCTTTGAAACTGAAGTGAAGGATACAAATGGCAACATAAATCTTTTAATGGAAAATATTACAACAGATGAAAATGAACGTAAACAAAAAACATTGATTTCGATGTTTGAAATATCTGTAGTCTGAGAGACTCTTTAATTTTTTTGTTCCACATTATCTCACTAACACCGAGATGTAACCATGGGACAATTACTTTTTTTATACAGAAAATCCCAAAGCATGGGACTGATATTTTTTTTAATACCAAAGCCATGGCCGGGACACGTATACTTTTTCAAAATGAGGATTTTGTTTTGTACTGGTCAAATCATTGTGATAAATTTTGCCTGGTCCCTAAGAGCAGTGCCTTTTAAATCTTCAGCAATATATCACATTTATAGAGAACTGCCTTAAAAATCTTCAGCAATATATTTACTCGTATGTATTTACAATGATCATGTACGTACTATTCTGAGGTTTCTTTTTTTACCTCGATAATTTCATCAACTGACAAAAATACTGACAATTTTGCTTTAATTTAAAAATGGTATAAGTAGACTTTTTGGGATAGGGAAAATGGTATTTGGATTTTTGAAAATCTTGGAGCATGTAGCTAGCAATCGAGAATTTTCTGAATGTTGAGTTAGACAATCCATGTGTAGTATTTTTGATAGATTTCTTGTGAAAAGCAATTTAATATACATGTATTCTGAAAGTGACAAGAATTGTACTTAGAAATCTAGCTGCAGATCTGTTGCGTTATGGTTTATATACTTGTATTTGTCTCTGACCATAACGCAATGTGTACAGATCCCGTAATGCAAAAATATTTTTGCGCACTTTTGGGGAGAATTTTTCCACTTTCCAGCACCGGTCAATTAACTTCCTTTCACTCCCTAATTCTAGACACATTCTGTTGCCCATAAGTATATTTTATCCACCTCCCTACCATTTATAGTTGTCTCTACAGGCAATAAACTCACTTGAAGTGAATTTTCAGCAATCTAACAAATTTTTATCAAGCTAGATTATCACTTTTAGAGACGACTATGAAGGGTTGGGAGATGGGTGAAATATAGAGACTAGTTAAATCATGTGCCTAGAATTAGGGAGTGAAGGGTATCTAATGTAAGTAAATCTAGAAATCCATCAATTATGTGATTAAAACAAAAAGAAATTAATGTTTCTTTGGTTGTTGAAAAATTAATGATGTTTGATCAAAACTGCCAGCATTCTTATTGGTAAAAAGCTTGAAAAGATGGAAAATGTGTTGTCAGATGATGAAACTGGTGCTTAATCTTATTTTTCTCACCATAGTAAAGGAAGTTAAATCTAGAGTTATTGTAAATACTGATAATTTTCAGTCAAAGTGTTTGTATATGATTAAAGGCAATGATAGGTTTGTTATTTGTTTGCCTGACCATTATGAATGGGATTAACTTGTTAGTGGAAACACAATATAGTGTTTTATATATGTTTCAGAATTGCCACAATATTTTGGCAATAGTAAACTCAATGTAAAGATCAAAGTATTTTGTTGCTCGCTTCGAAATTAAGTTTTGGTGTAACATATTTAGTTCTCAAAATATTGCCTGCATGAATGTGAAAGTTTGACAACTTTGTAATATTTGTAAATATATGTCAGCAGTTATTGCTTCGTTAGGCAGTAGTAATTATGGTAGTTCAAAGAAAACTGCATATTGTGCTTTCTTCAAAGAAGGATAACATGTTAACATGTTTAAAGTCATGTCTTCTTCTTCATGATTGTAAACATGGTGAAAGTTTGACAAAAGTCTGTTTTTTAATGTTATAATTACATCTCCTTTCATGTTTGTAATGCTATCTAACCTCTTATTTGGCATGTATTGTGAAAATTCAATATTGGATTGCCAATGGGCTGTAATTGATGTATGAAACAATTGTTTTTCAATAAGGTTAATATAAAATTATTATGAATATTGTCACAAAATAAATTTGGAAATGAAGATCACGCAGTTTTCTTTTATTTATTCTATAAATCTTGAAATTTTTAAGTTTTAAAATTTGAAAAACACTCGTTCTTTGATATATTGATATTAACAGAAAGGTGAAATCACCGTTATCACCCCCTCCCACAAGTCAAAGTCAAGTACTAATCAAGTTTTACTCATGCACAATTAAAGTACTTACGGCTCAGTCAATTACCATTACCATGCTTCAGTATTTAAGAGAAAAGGCACAATATTTCAGTCACATTCTACTTTATTACAAATGGTCTGTAATTGAATTTTTAAAAAAGTAAACTTTGAAAATTGACAAATTCATATATTTTTTTTCAAATATAAAGTGTAAATATTAATATGTAACAGTGAAAAATATTTATCTTATAAAGATATAAAACAAAGTGGGAAATATAAAAGCACTTATCACAGTTGATAACAAAATAAAATGTACAAAATGTAAACAAATTTAATATAAATATACATGTAGTAAGATGTGCACAAACAACCCAGCATTAGCTGAGCAGATCAAAAAATATTTTACAGACTAGTTTATAAAAATGCATAAAGCTATAATTATAGCTAAAAATGTCATTCAAAACTTACATTATAATAAAATTGTTGGACATAATATTATAACATTTACAAATTAAACACTGAAATACATGTAGGTTAATTTTTAAAGTTTTTAAAATAAAAAAATTCATTTCATGTTTACATACTATAATATCTAAATGACTTCACATGCAAACATGTACATATACAGACAAATGTATTTTTTTATTAGTCCTATACAAAATTTTTAAAACATTATTGATTTTTTTCCTTCATGGGATGTCATTTAACAACTACTGTCTTTTCTTTTCTTTTTATCTTTGATCTTTCAAAATTTCAGAGAATATATCACAGATTTAAATGAGACAGCTTTTTTTCCCAAATTTTTAGCCTAATTATAATCTATAACTTGCATTTTTTTAGTGATTGACATGTATCTTGAAAGCTAAAAAGTGCAGAAGTATGAATAAAATCTCAAATTTCTATAAAGTTCAACAATCAGATTCAAAAATTGTTCTGTGCATCATATATGATTTAGATTTCTAATAAAGGAAAAATATATTAAAAAGATTTTTGGGTGTGTTTTTTTTTTCCTTATCAAATACTGATATTTATTGTAAAAAAAAAACAAAAAACTTACTGATTTTGTGAAACATATGAATTAACACAATTAATGAAATGGTTAATCACTTTGAGGTAAACTAAAAAACTTTCCATGGACGGATCCAACAATTATACCCACATTAATGTAAATTTAATAAATATACATGTTTGTCCAGCAAAGGTCTCACCCTAACCCCCACCCCAACCCATATCCAGGAATACAATTCTTTATCCAAAAAAAAATTCGTTTTGATATATGCCATTTTGTTAACAATTTTGACATGATTGGATCACATATTAAATACATTTAAATACATGTAAAAAAAAATTAATTGGCAAAAACAGCTGTTGATCTCTGTTGGAATAATGAACACTAGCAAAGTCCAAGGCCAAATGCAGCAACATGCAACTTTCACATCTCAGCAACATGCAACAAATGCTTACAAACAGTGCAACAAAAATTTCACAAGGTACAAATGGGTACAGTTAATGAAGACAATATCTTGTCATTAATCTTGTTTTTACGACATGTAAAATGCAGTGAACACTATTATAGCTTTACAAATGTGCAGCAAAGTTGATCAAGTCATTTAGCAATGGTGAACGGCAATATGCTGATATAAGCAAACCAAAGAAGTGTAATGGGCTAGCAATCATAATCAAATTATGTACAGCAAATAAAATTGAACAATTGTAAAAAAAAAAAAAATGTATAATTATATAAATCTGATATGTGTTTTTCTTTAAAAAAATTGTTGTTGGTTAAATAAATTTAATTTAATTAGCAGCTTTTTATTCTTCAATTTACAATTGAAAACATTAAATATAATTAAGGTAAAATATTTTATATCAAAATTAAGTGTCAAAAATCCAGATTGTGCATGCAAAATTTTTATTAAACTCAAGTGTCTGGCTCCAAAAAAAAAAAAAAAAAAAAAAAAAAAAATGGAGGCATATAATTTCATTTCATATATGGCATAAAGTTTGCCTTTTCAGTAGAATACCGCTTTTTTCAAACAATTTTTCTCCAATTTAAAAATATAAAATGGGAAAAAATTGACTTTTTTTAAAGTAATGATTAGTTTTCAAATTTTATGCCATTGTTGTTCGCTTACTTAATTTCAAATTTTTCTCTTGAACATTAAAACTCTGAAAATAGAACAAAAAGTAAATCTGAAAACAAAATTTTATAAATTTTACAGAAATATAAAAAAAAAATTATCTTGCACTCATATATTACAGTCTGGTTTTACAATCTGGAAATATCATCATAAAAAAATTGTCCTCCAGCATTTATTTAGAACACAATTAATAGCTTAGTTGATATATTGAGACTCAGATTTCCTCCTTCCAAGAAGACAAACGAGTTTTAAATGTGGGGTCGGGGGACCGCACCCCTTTTCTGCTGGGGGTGGTGGCACTGGCGGGTCTGAAGAGAGAGCTGGGGTGGATCCGGACCGTGGCAGCAGTGGAGGGGCGACTGTTGTCGGGGGTACTTACAACTATACTGGGGTTAGGCGACCTTTTCCCGCGCTGCCCGGGGGCTGATTTGGCTCGACTTGTAGCTCGAGCTGTCGTAGCGCGGCTCATCGAGCCAGTCATCGGTCTCATACCTGGAAATCAAGAAGGTAGTAGAGTAAAATATCTAGATAATGAACAGTTATCGAATGCAAAAATCTATTGATTCAATTTGGAAACAATACAAATTGGGAGCAAAGCAATCACGGACCTCTCCAAACATCAGAAGTGGGTTTAGAGGTAAGTTAAAGGTACTTGGACACAGATTTGAGGTTAATATTTTCTCTATAATATTACGACTTATATATTTTAATAGCATTTCACACAAAAATTAATTGAAAATTTTATTTCATTTAAGGATGTACAACACACCTACCCCAAAAAATTCCTGTCGTTTAATTTTCGTTATTTTTGTATATGTAGTACATAACTATATCTACTGCATGTATGCATATTTTAGACAAAATCGTTCGAGTGGTTTTTGGACAGGAACCTCCGAAAGTTACCCCCCTTTAATTGTTTACAAGGAGTGAAAATTTTTTATCAATGAACTACTTAAACCTTGATTTTCAAAAAAACCAGGTTAGATATAAATGTCAAATTTTATTGCCTTATTCCTTTAACCATTTAACACTAAAACATAGTCATCTTTTTGATATACATATCATCAAAACAATTTTTAAAGACCTTAAACTGAAAAACTATGAATTTTCTAAGCCTTGAAAATTGCGTATTTTTCAAATTCAAAATTTTTTTGTGAAAAAACCTGTCGTTTAATTTTAATAAAAAACTTTCTTTAGGTAGCTAGTAAAAATAATCTTCATAATTTTTTGTATAATTTTTGTACGACCAGTTTTGATTTAATAGCGGAAAATTACCCCCCCCCCCTTTCTCAATAAATCACGTTCCCGCGCGTCTTTCAGACGGGGGTCGATCACTTTGTTATATAAATCTACAAATACACATCAAAAAAATTAAATTGGAATATTGCTTTTGCTTTAAAAATATATTACCTTACAAATTTAAAAGTTCTCATATGTAAAGCGTATCTAAATGTAGATTTTTAGGCAATTTTTGAATACCCCTATCACCCCCACCCCCTTCTTTTTTGCGTCGCAGACCATCAGCGTTTGACGAAACGTCGTTTACAGTGCAAATATACTGGTATTTCGTCAAGAATCCCGGAGGTATGCATTATTTTTTAAATTCATGAATGCAGAATAAATATTGACTACTCTTTTTATATGTATCAGGAAAAAATTACTAAAAGATTTTAGTGTTTAGTCCATATACGTTTGCGTTATGCATTCCATATCACATGAAACCTGGATACGAATTCAAGTTTTGCTGAACTTGAATATGTTGATTTTTAATTTTATTAAAAAATGGTGTATGTTCAACTCTCCTGTGATATAAATGGAATAATTGTAGTTTTTTTCATGTCATTATTTCAAACGAGACAGTATGTGGCCGTGGGGATACATCGACATTTGCATTAGATGTACATACACCCCTCATATTGTATGCATTTCTTTCAATGTCGTCGCTTCTAAAGTTAAAATGAAAATACCGTATTCGTCCACATTAACATCAAAATATCAATAATTAAACTCTTCATCTATTTCAATTTATATCAAATCGCACATTGATATTTTTTAAAATCTTATAGGCTACGTTTTGTTTTGATTCGAGGAAATGCGAACCGACATTGTTGACAGAAAGTCAAAGTTACGATTTGCTGAAATAGGATATTCATAAATGCAGATAATTTCAGTACAAGTGAACAATTCTTTTCAATTCTATACTTACATTGTGTATATGAGGTCTATAGTATTCAATTCTCGGATTTATCAGGTCTTGCTGTAAATGTATCTGATTCTGTGGAAAACCGTGAATAAAGGGAGGAAAATAAACATCTACATTTTCAGAGTTGTTCCTCTTTGATCAGTAAGGGTCTGAGAACAACATCGATTTTACATTGTAAAAAGTTTTTTGTTTATTTATTGTTGTTTTATTTAATTAAAGAAGAAAAACAATATTTATATCGTGTATGCACAAATTGTAATGAAGACCATTAATCGGAATGTTATGTAGCCAATTGTACATAAGGAGAATTTCGGCAATGTAAAACAAAATTTTCAGAATAAAAAAAAATGCTGCGCTTTGATCAAAAATACAATTTATTGTATATGAAATGAAATGAAATAAACATTAAGGGATGGTATTTTATGTCTTGCTTTTTACGGAGTTTAATCGGGTTAATTAAAAATACTTATGGATTGAGTATGGTGCGCACAATCACAGCCAAGCCCCATATCCCAATTTTATTTCATGGTTGATATACATCGGGATCGTTTTATTCGTCGTTTTGACGCTTTATTTTTGACGTTAAATTTGACGTCACGTCAAACGTTCAATTGAAATCGCAAGAGTTATCTCCCCCAGTGTGTTGTACGTCTTTAAAAGTTATTAAAACTTTAAATTTTTTGGCGGGTTTGATTGACACATCCTTGCACTTTCACAAATTTTAACTTTATTCTTAACCCTTAGGAAAAGAGGCAATCCTGATGTGTATTAATGAAAAATATTAATACTATAATCCAGAAAATTCAGAGTAGGCATGTTCTAAAGCAAAACAAACACACAATATATTGTCAGTCCGTGCAGTTGTGGTGAGCTGACTTTGGCGATTGAACGCACCCGGTGAATCGTAAACATCAAACAATAACATGTTTACAAAAACCTGTATACATAACACGAGTGTGATCGATTCGCAAAACTCTGTACACAACGGAATGACGATACTTGTGAAGGAGTTACAGGGCTTTCTAACATTTCTACTCTGAATAAAATTATTCTTCTGGATTTAAGGTTTAATATTTCTCATTAATACACATCAGGATTGCCACTTTTTCTAAGGATTAAGAATAAAGTTAAAATTTGTGAAAGTGCAAGGATGTGTCAATCAAACCCGCCAAAAAATTTAAAGTTTTAATAACTTTTAAATGAAACAAGATTTTTAATTAATTTTTGTTTGAAATGCTATTAAAATGTATAATTCGTGATATTATACAGAAAATATTAACTTCAAATCTGTGTCCAAGTACCTTTAAAGACCCAATTTTTTACCGTACGGTTACCTGAGGAGGGGGAGTGGTCGAAGTAACAGTGGTGTTATTTACCTGGAGACCCCCAATACCCAAGATGTCAAAAATCTGTATACACGTATATAGCAGTACACAGGAAGTCTGTGTCTGGTGAAGGGTCAACATTACGTGTTTTGTGTCTGATTTTGAGTGAAACTATGTAAAATAATTATTTTAATATGAAATTTATTTGTAAACTTAACGCATTCATCGTAATCATGGTAATGTTTTGAAGGAAAAAAAATAAGATACAGGTAAACCGTTTTAAAATTTGTTTTCCTTACATAAAAGTAAAAATCACGAGTAAAAACTACAAATCAATAACATTTATCTTTTTTAATCTTCAATAAAAGAAAACACTTGATTAAAAAAAGTCTGAATATTGAAATAAAAAAAAATATTAATCCACCTAACAGTCAATTCTCGATTTATCGCCATTCGATTCATCGCCATTTTCGCAATACCGCCATGATTTCCCAAGAACGTTTTTCCTGCTATATAAAATTCTCTTTATAACGCCAAATTCGTATACCGCCATCCGCCACCCTGTTTTCACAACAAACGTCCATTTTTAAGCATCAATTATCTCGATAATACCGCCACAGGTGCATGTGGTCAGTGAAGCGCGGCTAATTGGTTGACGCTATCCCTGTTGTAAAGCATGCAAAGCCAGTCAAGGTACATGCAATTAAGTAAACAATAATTTTAACATGAACTGTTTGAATAATTTTGTTTTCTGTTTAATAAAATCATTTAGTGAAGGCTTCGCCACGAAAGCGGTCGTTGTAAACTACGCCGATAACGATATTAATTTGATGATCTCTGTTTTTAAAAACAATGCAAAGTTTGCTTAAAAAATAATTATAAGTCAGAAATTGTGAATGTTTCATTAACAATGATGTCATAAACAATTAATTTATTCAAGAACTCATTTTACGTATTATAGGCAATATATCACAACGATCGACCCAGCATTATTTTTTTTTCAATATCAGACGTGCAGATTTACATGTATACACATGAACTTGTCCTTATTTCATAACTGAATATTCTGTTTCAGCTAGCGAAATTGTACATTAAAAAATTACTTGAAGTATTATCAGATTTAGAAATATGTTTATATATACCTGTATATGTAATAATAAGAATAGAAACGCTAACTGGTTTTTCTAAGAACGATAACTCTACGTCTTATTTCCTAAAAGATGGAAAATTCAATTCATCGCCAAATTCGTTATACCGCCATGATTTCTAAATTACAAAAGGTGGCGGTTTATCGAGAGTTAACTGTACATAGAAATTTACATCTTCGTCAGCTAATGAACTTCATACAATAGGAATGTGGGAGAGAGATTCAGTCGTTAATTTTTCAAAGTATATTTAAGTTAAGCTATGGCACATATCGCCATGTACTACTTACCAATTCCTAGAACATAGTTCTGAATCCCTGATGGATGTGAACCAGTCTGAAATTCTTCAACATCCAGGAAAGTTTCCCAATTTATGTACATGTCTGTTGTAGAAGTCTACAAGAATATAAATCTAGGAGTCAATTTGAAAGTGGGAACCTAATCTACAACTTTTCAACCCCTCACACATAAATTGAGTGACCAAATATAAAAGTGATTAATAAGCTTCAAAAAGAAAATAATCAGTTGTGAGAGCAGAGGAAATTTTAAAAATGTTTCTCACCTGATACTTTATACCTCTAACATTGCCTATCCACACCTCTCCGGGAGAGGGAGGAGTTAGATCCACCACTATTCCATCACTACAGATGTCTAGCTGGGGCAGTACCTGAGTCCACAACTCGTGCTTTATCTCAGTATACTCTGTGTGGATACAAACCATGTACCTCTGACCATGGACCAGCTCTCCAGGGTCAAACTTCATGTTGATAAATTCATTCTCTAAAGACATATCAAGAAGTAATGCTATAATATCAAATGCCTTTATATGATCAAATGCATTTTGATGTTATGAACATTTGCTAAAAACAAACTTCAAATATCTTTACTAAATGTTAAATATTGTTTATTCTTCTATATACATGTATAAGTGTAATTTCACAAAACAAAGTTTATCTTACTAGTGGTATCACATTTAAGTGCGTCTGGGTGGCTACAGGGGTCAGGCAGGGAGAGGTTGGTGGTAGGGAGGTAATAGGTGGTGACATCCATAGATCGGGCATTCAGCACCGCCACTTTGTACGAGGTGTAACGGAGCTGTGGCCAGACTGCCGAGATGTAGTTCATGTTAGGTGTGTAATCCTTATCTGGGTAGGGCCAAATGGCATTTTCTAAGATAAACACTGGGCTTCCATAACCATCTGAAACAGAAAATGTAAAATTAATTCATCAAATTCAACAGGAAAATGTTCTCATTTCAAATTTAATCAAAGTCAATTGCTTCATTAATCCATCCCCCCTTTACCACTATTTGCTATGGATAAAACCACTACATGTTGTATAATGGTGTTTGGTAAGTGGCTCTACCTCTGGTGGTATCTAACTCTCCCACTGCATCCAGGACCAGGTTAGGTTTGACCAGGATCGGGTCGAAGGCTTTACAGTCCTTAATGTCTGTTGATACAGTGGAGAAGAGTTTAGCCTTGTTGTATCCCCTGACACTGAATCTACGACATTTAGAAAAGTCAAATTCTCCAAGTAGTCCAATCTCAAACTGCATCTGTTAAAGGAATTAATCACAGGATAAATTTCATTTCATTTTCCTTACACAAAAATGAAATTCCCATTAGCTTACACAAGCAACCAATTATTCCCTATGTTATCTTTCATTTGCTTGTCGAAAATTTAAGTCTTCCTTACCTTATTTTGAGTTTTCTGTACATTCTTAACCTCATTCCAGATTGTATGGGTTCTGCCTACATCTGATTGGTCAGTTATGGCCCATTCATACTTATCAATTACACTATACTTATCAGTAGCATCTTGGATATCGGGATCATAGAATTCATCCATTGTGACAAAAATCTAAAAAATAAACAAAATTTGTTAATAAGACCTATCAAGACGCTACACATAAATGACATATAAATACTGGAAACACAACAATAAATAATGTCCTGGCTTGCACAAGAAATATCTAAGTAATTCTACAATTAAGACATTTTCTTGCCTTTGAATTTTTAATACTTGAAGTCTAATGACATATGAGTACATACCGTTTCATTTGAGCCAGAACTTTGGGTTGTGTTCCTATGTTCAACAGTTATCTGCCCTTTGCTTGGAGGATTAGCCAAAATCAGAACACCGTCACTAAACAGTGGGGCATAGCAAGTTGTAATGGCACATAATTTGACAGCAAATCTGTAAGTCCTCCCTGGTTTCAAGTTTAGATCTGTGACATGGGCCTTATGGTGCTTGTGTATATGTTCGTATTCTCTAAATGTTGACCAGACAGCTGTCAAGAGATGGTTCACATAATGTTATTCCATAAAATGGATTTTTAATATTACCTGAAAACCTCGTATATTTGGCAAATTTATATTCAGATCTAAACTAGCAGAAATTCACTCCCTTCAAAAAATTCTTATAATTTTTGGTTGAATTTCACTGTAATTACCGGGTAAGAAAAATGTCCTTTGAACAACTTTCACAATTTGATTACATATCAATCATTTTTCCAATTTAAAACATTTCACATAAGTGGATAATTAAGAGTTATCCCCCCTTTAAAGCAATATTCCAACATATGAAGATTGAAAATATCTACTCCATCACAAAACATGCTTAATCTTCCTGCATGTCTATTGTGAGTTTACCTCCTATGTGTGACTTCTCCTCTATGGAGAAGTGAGCGTCAGGTGAGTAGTGAGATACGGTGTCACATTACACTTTAAATCATGTCTATTGTGAGTTTACCTCCTATGTGTGATTTCTCCTCTATGGAGAAGTGAGCGTCAGGTGAGTAGTGAGATACTGTGTTAGGGACTTCCCAGTACGCCTCCAGACTGTTAGTGGATGACTGGTAATCCATGTCCTCTGCACACCGCAGTCTGTTGTCCTGGGGGGAAAACATCACAAAGCTGTCATTATTTAACATGTGATTGGGAGAATGTACTTTACATATGAATGATTTCAAGTGACCAAGTTTTACCTCAAAATGATGTTTGAAGACTGTCCCATTGTCTGCTAAAAATGGAAGAAGAGAATCAAAGATTACAATTCAATTCATGTATACATAAAGTAAAATATGAGGCAGTCAAGCCTTCAAATTTGTGCACTCTTTGATTTACTTATAATAAAAAAAATAAACTCTTGGATAATCTGTTTTAAGCATCAACAACATTTGTAAAACAGAAATAAGATGCTTCACTGCAGCATAATGTGTTCCACAATAGCAGACCTGTCATGGTACAGTTCTGCCCATCATAGATGGTGATTCCTGATAATACAGCGTCCTGTTGAACCACAATCACTCCGTCTGATGTCACCTCCACATTTCCTGCAGATGTTACTGCTGATATCGTCACATAGTACCTCTACAAATACAAGTTTTTATTCAGAAGGATTGCAGACTAAAAGCATTTCAATAACATCATTCTAAGCATTATCTCAATCAGTATCCTTTAACTAATTATGATTAGTGTAACCTTGACATACAAAAACAGAAGCTTTTACCTGAAACTGAATGAGAGTGAGTCCAGTCTCTGTATGAGCCAAGGTCTTTCCTACATTTTTAGAGGACACAATATCACTAGCCCCTGGGGTACTGCCGGCCTTAAATAAGTAGGTCACATCCAGGTGAGGGTGTGCGAAGCCTCCCCAGCGGGCTGATAGAGTGGTCAGACTGGTGGTGAAATCTATGTCCTCAATGTCCTATATCAAGCAATAATTGTAACAATTTATCTTCTTCAACAGAATGTGAAATATATAATTCTAAAGAAATTGTCAGTTATAATCGATCATCGTTTGGAATCAGTTAATGCTTCCAATGCTATTTTACCAATTAATATATACATTTCCAATGTCTTTGTCTGAGATAAAATTACAAATACTGTAAAAGCACAAATATTCGTGGGGGATTAAATTTCGTTGTGAACAATTCCTACGAAATTAAATCCCACATGAAATTTTATATGACTATATACTGAATAGGCTTACTCTCAAAACAACGAAATTAAATGCCCACAAACTATTCTTAATGACAAATGAATGAAATTTTATCCCCACAAAAATTTGTGCGCATCCTGCATGCAGATTATGACTTGAAACTGACTGGTGATAGTATCTGACTTTAAATAAAACATATGAGAGTTACACAATGACCTTTGTCCTACTTTACACTGTGTGACATTTGTCCTACTTTACACTGTAATTTATTCCGTGTGACGTATGTTTACTCTGCACTGTGTGACCTTTGCCCTACTTTACACTGTGTGACCTTTGTCCTTTTAACATTGTGTGGCCTTTGTTTTTTTTTACACTTTGTGACCTTTGCCCTCTTTATGACTTTTGTCCTACTTTACACTGTGTTGACCTTTGACCTACTCACCAACTTGAAGCAGTTTTTCGTATCCTCCAGTAACATACTACAGATGTCGGGGATGCTGGTTTTCTCTGCGATGTATTTCTGTTGAGTCGTGGTGTTTCCGGCCAAAGCCCATAAAGCCTTGGCACCATGCTCCTTCACTGATACATTGAAATTCTGCAATTTCATAGCAGAATTAGTTTTGACTGACTTTAATTT